CTTACCTCAAACCTAAGAATCATGATGTCTACCCCGCTCCCCCGCCCCAGAAAATAACAAAATAAGCTATGTGAATTTTTTTTGACAATTTGAAAAAGAGTGCAAGAGATTAAACTCCCAGCCATACTTAGAAGTACATCTCATCAGAATCGATGCAAATAATCCATGAATAAACACAAGCTTCATGCAGATGACACAGCACCAAGCAACAGTGGAGGAGTGGGTTTGTCCCAAATGGCTGTGTCCCTCCAGACGTGCCCATGCAGTCATTACACACACCTATCAGCTGCATCTTGTATGTAAAACATTGCTAGTAAGGACTATGTTGAATGTCCAGTCGCCAAAGAAGAACCATAACAGAAGGTCCCTCATTGAGGGGGCCGACTGGGACACTGCCAGTTCTGCTTACAACTGGGAAATCTCAGGGGCACCATCTATACTTAAACAGGGGATGGGGGCAAAGAGATTCCAGTGGGACAGGAGCAAGTTCCTTAATAAAAGGTGTGTTCTTTGATATCTTCAAAATTAGATTTCAAGATCGAGACTAAGTTTGGTGTGGCAATTAAAACGTTGGGCTAACATCCGGGACGTCCAGGTTCAAATCCCCGCTCTGCTGTGGGAGCGTGGCTGGGTGACCCTGGGAGAGTCCCATTTTTCAGCCTACCTTCCCTTCCAGCCTACCTTCCCAGATGAGAGAGCCAGTTTGGTGTAGTGGTTAAGTGTGCGGACTCTAATCTGCGAGAACCGGGTTTGATTCCCCACTCCTCCACGTGCAGCTGCTGGTGTGACCTTGGGTCAGTCACAAGCTCTGGCACAGCTGTCCTTGAAAAAGAGCAGTTTGTGTCAGAGCTCTCTCAGCCCCACCCACCTCACAGGGTGTCTGTTGTGGGGAGGGAAAGGGAAAGGAGTTTGTAAGCTGCTCTGAGACTCCAAGTCTTCTCTTCTCTTCTCTTCTCTTCTCTTCTCTTCTCTTCTCTTCTCTTCTTACAGGGTTGTTGTGAGAGTAAAATGGAGGAGGGACAACCAGTGCACTGAGCTTCTTGGAGGAAGGGTGGGTGAGAATGGAACAAGTACATCTCAAAAATCAAAGTGCATTTTAAGATTATTTAAAGTCCTAACAGCTATAGCAATATTATCAATACTGGTCAAAATGTCACCAATTATTCTGAAGCAAGAGATGTTTGACTGCTGGTATAGGTACACAGAAAAACTAAGCACATTTCTAAGTAGTCAGTCAAAGACTACAGCCTGTGAGTCAAATTGAGAAAGAAAGAAATTCATCTCACAGCTGCAACACATTTTATTCTGGTTTTTGGGACCCAGAGTAAAGAGAGGTTGGGTATTTTTTTGCTTTTGAAACGTTTTAATGAGGTTTTAATTGAATTTTAATGAGAAATTTTATTTGTTTCCTTATTGCATCCTTATCCACCACAAGCCCTCAGGAAAGAGGGGTGCCATATATTTTAATTAAAATTTACATCCAGCATTTTCTTGCCTTACTTTTCGCCGGTTCCAGCGTCACGTCAAAACTGTGGTTCTTGAATTCCGTCTTGGAGACTCCAGTATAAAACACAATGTTTCCGGAAAGATAAGACTTCACAGTGTAGCGGTTCTGGGTGTTATTTCTGAAAGTAATGTTGACTTTGAAGTCGCTGCCAATTGTCGAATCTTCCACTTGAAAGTCCATGTCGACCTCTGCACTGGGCAAAACATCCTGGGCAACCTTTTTAACACCGTACATCAGGGCAGTGTCAAGGGCCAGCCTTTCTTCCTCTGTGCCTATAAAACAAACGGAAATGCCTCTGAAAAATAAGTGACACCCCTGTGGGCATCACAGCCTTGTGCCCTACTCTAACAAGCCATCTTGTGTGTGCTGCCGGAGAAAGTCTTTATGACCCCCAATGTCTGTGTTGTTATTTGTGTAAGGTGCAGGGGTCATTTCGTAGAAAAAGAGGTGCAGGAGCTCATTAGCATAACCTATTAGCATAACTTATTTGCATATACCACACCCCCTGACATCACCGGAAGTGTGTCAGAAGGCAACACCCACCGCTCAGGCTCCACTGGACCGTTTTGGATTGCTAGCTATTGGGGGGGGGAACGTGCAGATCTGTCCTCGCAGAGGAAGGAGAGCTTGTACCTGAATAAAACTTGGTCTTAAAGGTGCCACTGGACTGTTTTAGATTGCTAGCTATGGGCGGGGAAATGTGCAGATCTGTCCTTACAGAGGAGGGAGAGCTTGTACCTGAAGGGGGGGGGGGCTCTGCAACTTACCTGGCTGCTTCTTGCTCCTGGTGGCCCGACTGAGGGTTTCTGGGAGCAGGGGGCGGGGCTTGTTGCATGTGCCCGCCCCCTGGGCTCCTTACTGCCAGAGCTCTGCTCCTGTGTGCTCCCGCAGGAAATGACCCCTGGTAAGGTGTACTATATATACATTATTATCAATGTATGTGGCATTTTACAGGGCAATATAATCAAAAGAGGCAGATTCCTGCCCTGCAGTTTGTAACAGAAGGGGGACAGGGACATAAAGAGAGAAAGGAGGTTAACAGGCAGGGTTGCCAGGTCTTACCTGACTACTAATGGGGGGGGGGGGCCAGTCCCGCTCCATGAGTTT